TCCAGTGTCCCAGGTCTTGATGAATAAAAACGTGTCAACACCTAAGCTAATCTTCAGTCTTCATTTCCAGCCGCAGCTCAGGGGTTTTGGTGTCTGTCTTTGGATATGACTCAACCAACAGATTGTGGGGGGAGGGGGTGGACTGCACCACTGATTAATTATGTTGCAACTTCAGGCTCTGTCCTTTCATTTACCGAATCGGTGTTTAACAACTCAAGACTGCACTTCCTCGAAGATGAGTTTGAGCTTCATGAGATCATAAAATTAAAGCAAAAGTCTGCCATGCTCATTGCTCACCAGTCCTTGGCCGAGGTCTGATCCCAACTGCTTTCATTCCCGAGTCCTCCTCGGCACTTCCCTGTCTAAAGAGGAAAGTCTCCCAAAAGGGACAGTGGGCCACTTCAGAGTGACCTTCGGAGCACTGTCCTTGTCACTTCTGTTCCCATGACTCTGCACTCTCCTGTTCTTTTGTCTTCTCTGCATTTTTATTTGCCAGATACTGGCAGATGGTTGGGCTGCCTTCACTGTTTACATACAGTTCTGTTTTAGCTACCGGTCATTTTACAAAGACACAGTTACAGAGTACGTCCATGGCTTCTCTCCTTTGCTTCCTTTTTACCATCTCTTTTTCTCTCTTTTTTTTTCCTTTGCCTGAAACAAAAAGAATGTTGGGATTGGGGCCAGAATTTACTCTTGTTCTGATCTAGAACCAGTCTTCAGCCTTGGCTCATTTTTCTCCCTGCCTAAAAATAAAAGTTCACGTTTACTAAATGCTTTACAAATACCTACTCACGTAACATCCAGCAACTGGGGTCTTGTCTCCACTTTACCACAGAGGTAGTCTGACTCTTCACACTGTGCTGTCCAGTCACCTCTTGACCAGTTATAGTTCACACACATACACACACACCCTTAAATTTAAAAAGGGGGTAAAATCTAATGTAACATGGACCCAAATTTCAGTAAGTTGACATCTTTGAGTTTGGGTGTTGTCTACAGAGATGAAGTCTGCAATGGAAAACACATTTAAAATATTGATAAAGGGGGGAAGGGAAGTAACATAATGCTCAAAATATGACAGAAATATTATATTTACCAAAACCATATAAGTTATTTTGATGATAAGACCTCATACATTCAAATTACTGGCCTCAGATCCACCAAAAAAGGTCTCAAGAAAGTTCATTGCTAAAATCCAGCCCTTGGCTTATTAGTTGAGCCCCCATTTAAAGTCTCTTAGATTCTTCTTACTCTGACTTTCTACACAATTCTAAAGGGGCCAGGGATCTTCTTTCCAATCTATAGTAAAGGACTAGAGACCACAAATCAAAAGACAAAGCCAGAGAGAAAGATGCTGGGAACCTACCTCCTAGAGTGGGTAGAAGAGGTAGGTGGCTGATACGTGAACAGGAGGAAGAGGAGTTTTACAAAGGAGAAAGCGTAAGATCATTTAGTATAGGAGATGATAGCCCCATCCACAGCTACTCTGACAATGAGAAACAGACTAACTGTGTTCATCATCACATCTCTAAATCACCAAGACAAAGCAGACCATGACTGACTGTAACATGGTGAAGTTCACAACTTTTTCAAGGAATTCATGTATGGATGTGAGAGTTGGACTATAAAGAAAGCTGAGTGCCAAAGAATTGATGCTTTTGAACTGTGGTGTTGGAAAAGACTTTTGAGAGTCCCTTGGATTGCAAGGACATCCAACCGGTCCATCCTAAAGGAGATCAGTTCTGGGTGTTCATTGGAAGGACTGATGTTGAAGCTGAAACTCCAATACTTTGGCCACCTGATGCGAAGAACTGACTCACTGGAAACAAGACCCTGATGCTGGGAAAGATTGAGGGCAGGAGGAGAAGGGGACAACAGAGAATGAGATGGTTGGATGGCATCGTCGACTCAATGGACATGGGTTTGGGTGGACTCTGGGAGTTGGTGATGGACAGGGAGGCCTGGAATGCTGCAGTTCATGGGGTCGCAAAGAGTCGGACATGACTGAGCAATTGAACTGAACTGAACTATACATAATGACTAGAGTTTTACTGCCTGAAGGATATCAGTAACACCAAGAGAGCAAAAATGACTCACTCCCCAAGATTTCTGGTTGCCCAAGTTTTACTTGGTGTGTTTACATGCACGTTATCCCAGAGATAAGCCACACTGTCACTCTTGAACTAATTTCTGATGACCATAACTTTATATCATCTAGTGACAAGTTCTCAGATTATGAAACAATCATTAGCCTGAACACCATGAGTCTCTAAAGCAAGCCTGACTATTTCAAGAGACCCTGCATTTCTGCTAGTACAGGTTTCATGAATGATTCTGGAGTCAGCCCGGCACTGTGGTTATTTTGCATACGTGAAAAGTCAGGTCATTGCTTTGAAGGGCCTGGACTGTGTCCAAAGATCCCTTCCTTTTTGCATAATGGGGCTTTACTTCCTGGATTACAAAAATATTATTTTACTAAAGAGAACGGAACTGAACTTGTGGCATATTTTTGTGCAATGATTTAACTTAATTCCCCATGTTCAAAACACCTGTCAGTTACGAAGCGACTAAATGAAATAATGCATTTCAAAATCAACAAAATTTTTTTGTTCACTCTTCCAACCTACATAGGGTCAAAAGCCCAATATCATTGCTACCCCAGTTTCTGGTTAAAGAGCATTCTAAGCCTTTCTATTATGGAAAATTTCAAGCATCTGTAGGAACAGAGACAAAAGTATAATGAACCTCCATGTATCCATCATCTAGTTTTAACTTTCGTCAGTCTTAAATAGTACACCTTAGTGGACTGATGTGAAACTCCCTCTATTTTAATTTTCTAGCAGGCTGGAAAGATTTGGGGTTGGCCTCTAGTAAAGAAGAGCAGCTAGGCATCCAAGGACAAGGTGTGACTGGGAACGTGTCAAAGGCTCTTTACCCCCCACCACCCATGACGGCTGCTATCACTGGCGCTAACCATTCCTGGTGCTAACCATTGTGTGCCCTCTCTCTCAAGTTCTGTTCTAAAATGCTCTCCTGCTAGGAAATTCCTAAAATCTTAATAATCAGTTTTTATCAAAATAAGTTGGGCTTTATCAAATGAGTTGTTTTTTTTTTTTTAAGAAGAGAAGACTTTGAGAGATAGTCTATCATCCCTGTAGTCTGGAGACAGACAGGGCCCCAAAACAGAGATATGAAATAGAATGATGTGAGGTAAGGAAGACCAATTCACAGTGCTGTACAAGATTAGTCCTGGTAGTATTTCCTTTAAGAGAATGCCCTGGAAAAATTCATAATCTAAACATTCATATGACCAATAGTCAGGGTTTGGGAGTGGTAGAAAGGATAGTAATTTTATCACTTTAAAAATACTTTGAATCCACACTATTTAAAAACACTTTTTAGTTAATGTGAAATGATATTCAAAAATGTCCAACCACCTCTATTGTGAGCAGCAGGAATGACTGGCCTGTTGCCTTAGCAAGAATCACTTCGGTGGTCCTTTTTGCTGATGTACAGTGAGAAGCGGTTAGTAGGACTGTGTGTGCATGTGCACGCGAGCATGCGTGTGTCTTTACAAAGTGGTCCCTCTTTAGAAACTCCCTGGCAGTCCAGTGGTTAGGACTGCTGAGGGCCTGGTTCAATCCCTGATTAGGGAACTAAGATCCCACAAGCCACGTGGGGTGGGCAAAGGAAAAGAAAAAAGTGGTCCCTCTTTATACAAGTTTTAGGACATCTCTGCAGCAGGGAATGGACACATTGTCAGAATTGCCAGAGGAGATAGACTAAGTTCTTGGCTGTTGATCTTTGGGGTTCAATATTATAAGAACATTGCAAAAAAAAAAGAACATTGTAGACGGACTGATGTAGCCCTGACTGAGGTCAGCTGGCAAAAAAGGAACGGGGCATCTGCCCTGTGCCCACACTACCCCTGGGCATGAAAACTCAGCAGGTGTGAGGAGTCTGAACTGGTGACCCAGGCATGGGTCTGTCCTGCTCAGGAGAAAGTGGGACTGGCAGCAGACATATGTCCCGACAACTCTGTATCCAGAAGCAACACCAGTAAGCCTCTTGGTTCTAAAAATTATCACAGGAAGAGACAGACTCACAGGCAAGAAGGAAAGAGAGTCATAGGCAGGACAGGGGCTCAAATCTATAAATTTTAAAGTTAAAAGAGTTGTGATTATTTTGTACTTAAACTGATAAAGCACAGCATAGGTTTCTAGGGAAAAGATTCTAGGGAAGTTTATTCATGGGTTAATTATTGTATCTATAGTGTGAGTTTGTGGTACATTTTTGTTTTCCTTATTCTTTTTTGGTTCTTTTAAAATCCACTGCTTTTTTCTGTAATGAAAAGGCATTGTTTTCTATTTGGGAAATATAAGGACAATAAGAGTTTTAGTTTTTTAACCCAATTATCCTGCTGGAGTGTAATCTACCTCTCCTACCAGGGCACCTGTCGGCTCCCTCCTCTCTCTCCGGCGTCTATCACACTAAAAGCACGCTCCCCCTTCCCCCAGCTCACCAGAGGTGGGCACCCACAACAGCAAACAACTCTAGAAAAGTTCAGAGGACAGCAGGATGGGCAGTTTTGACGGCAGACAATAAAGTGCTGAGAAATAGGGAAAGCAGAACACCATCTCGGGGCAGATCAGGGGGCAGGACTGACACCCTGGCAAGCGAGAGGCAGGGGTTGACTGGAGGGTTCGTGGACATCCCCGGCCGCTCAGGCCGAGTGCAGATTTCTGGCCTCACCCCTGAGCTGGTTTGTAAAACTTGTGGCGAGGCCCAGGAATCCCCAGATGATTCTCTCTTTAAAAGTGTGACAAGGCTGGATGAGTGCGTGAAGAGGAAAACGCAAGTTGGGATTTCGTAACACGACGTTCACTGTAACTCAGGAACCGCCGCTGGCAGCAGGCAAGAAAAGCACTCCTCGTTCTGGTTCCACAGAAACTGCCCGTGCACTTGGATGACGTAATGCGGTGACGACGATGGTGTCACACTGGTTCCTGCTCTACACGCTCCTGGCTCACTACCTGAGGGCCTGACCTGGGGACTTGGACGGGCCTCACCCACCAGACTCCCCTGGTGAGACGCTCACTTTCCCGACGCCTTCCGGGTGGGGCTTGAGCCACGCAAAGGGGAGGAGCCGCCACTTCCCCTTGGGTGATCATCACCCTTCCCTTGGCAGGGGGCAGGGTACTGCTGGAAGATCTAAAATACGTATTTTTTAAGTGTAGCATCTCAACGTGCTCTAGTGAGTACAATCACCTCCGCAGGATTGAGTGAACTCACAGGAGGGGTCCTGCCAATGATGCTTTGCACAGAGCCTGGCAGGGGTCCTCGGACTCTCTCCTGCTGCTCTGCCAGGCATTTCTGAATCCTGAACCACTGAGGACAGATGCAGAGAACCACTGGGTCCCAGACTGGAAAGATAAGCTCTGCCTGGAAAACCCTGGGCACTCACTCCTGCTCAGCCACACAGATGGGTGAAGGGGGAGGTGTCCTGGAGAGGTAACCAGGTGACTGTCCTCCAAGAGCAGTCCACTGGAGGTGGCGAACACAGGCTTAAGGAGAGCTGAGATGCATGCTTCTCTAGCCTTTGTACTTGACCTTCGTAGTTTCCAGGAAAATCATGATTTGTGTAATTATTTCCTCCCTAGACAGTAGACTCCAGGGGGTATAAATGGAGTCTGTCTGTAACTTCAAAGCCTAGCAGAGTGCAAGGTACATCCTTGCCTTCAGTCCTGGGCTGAGGAATGAACGAAATGACCCAGCAGCTGGCTGAACCCTCTGCAGAGTGCTGGGCAGGGAAGTGAGAGGCACAACCAGGGGCCAGAGGTGGGGACTTAAGACGGCAGAAGCTCATGGAAAGTTTCTGAGCAAGGGGTCACATGGAGCCTTCCACCTTTCGGGAGATGAAGATGGGGTGAGGCTTGATGCACAGGAGAAGGGAGGGTGTGCAGTGCAGGAAGCCACCCCAGGAGGAAAGCCTTGCCCCGGACCTCCTGCCTCCCCCTCCCCAGGAACCATCAGTCATGAGTCCAGTAAGTGGGTTTCCAACCACTTCTGCATTAGAAGGGAAAACACCACAGGAGCAGTTTTTGATACACCAAAGAAATGGGGTTGTGTGACCACATCTGTGGTGATTTTGATATCCGTACCAGTGTGCTCATGCCTGTCCACCCTGGAGTTAACGAACCGTGGCTTGATGGTTCCTTCCTTCACCATGAACTCTGTCAGAACTTAAAGACTTCAAGTATCCTTTAGTTCCTAGAAGAGCTCATTTTCCAAACACATGCTCTGGTGCCCTGAGTTACTGGATGCACTTCTCACTCTCGTGGAATATTTTACTCACTCTGGCTGAACAGATTATTATTATGGTTATTATTAATATTGAGCCTAATAACAGTCACAGTAATAAACATGTTTCTCAGGGGCCACTGCATGGATAGCAATTAAAGTCTAAAAGAACATAGTCCCCAGGGACCCACAATACAAGCTAATCAGGCAGTTAAGGAGGATTTCTTTTCTTTTTTTCACTTTCCCCCTTAATCCCATCTTCACTCTGTGGGTAGAAATCATCCCTTGAGGGATCAGCCTTAAGGCCACATTCTGGAGTTATTTCAAAAAGCCTAAGGAGGAAAGAAAAGGGGAAAAAAAAGGTTAAAGGGCAGCATTGTGGGCCCAGGAGCCCTGTGAAGTAATGGCTGGTGCCTCACCCCAGATCAGTGCTGCCCAATAGAAATGCAGTGTGAGCCACAAGTGTAATTTTAAATTTTCTAATAGTCACCTCAGAAAAGGTAAAAAAGAAACAGGCTAAGAAGTTCAGTATTTTCTTTAACCTAAAGTATCCAAAATATCATCTCAACATATAATCCATCCATTAATGATACTTGAGTTTTTCTGTTGTTGCTGTTGCCTGAAGTCTTCGAAGTCTGGTGTCTGCTTTACCCAGACGGCATATTTCTCCTCAAGCCAGCCACACTGCCAGAGTAGCTACTGGCCACCACGGTGGCCAGCACAAACCAAGCCCCTCTGGGAAGACGCTGGCGGGTCACTCCGCTGGGGACACTGCGGGCAGCTACACGAGGAGGCCTCTCCAGGGCGTTAACCACAAGAATTCAGTACTGCGCACCCAAGCCAGGGAAAGCATCCAATGAGCGACCCGTCCAGCGCCAACGGAGCAGAAAAATCACTCTTCTAGGAGAGAAGGGTCAGCGATGAAAGAAGTGTTGGGGCATAGAGAGGTGAAAGCCTCTCTGAGATTCTGAACTTTTGTGAATCCAAGTTGCGCTCTTAGGAGGCTGGGCATTCAGAGACAGGCCCAGGCAGCACCAAGAGAAGAGGAAATGAGGGCGGCGGGAGGGGATTTGTTCCACCAGAATCTGGCGGGGAGGGATTACCGACTTTGGGGCTTCCTTAGAGATGATCCCGTCTACCTTGGACTGGAGAGCTTGCCAAGGGAGGAAGGAGCCACCAACTGCACCAGAGAGACTTATCCTGAGGGATGAAAGGAATGTCACCCAACCACCAAGAGGAAGAGCGGACTCGTGGGCCTCCTTCAGCACAAAGACACAGCTTGGCCAAATGGACGGTGCCCTGTTTCGAGCCATGAGACCTTGGGGGACAGCGGGGGGTGAGAGGGAGGGCGTGTCCACTCTCCCTTCCAGCTTTCTCCCTAAATAGGATTTGAAGAATCATGTTGTAAAACGATCATCTGAATTATTATCAGATGATTCTAAGTCATTAAATGCGATGTGACAGAGAGGTGCGTAACAGGCAGTGGCCGCCAGGCTCCCCCACTGCCTGTATCACTGAAATGAATCAACCTCAAGACTGAGTAATGCAGGACAGGGCTGCCCCATCGGGGCTGCTGCTTCCTAAAGAGAACTGGGATCTTCCCTAGATTCCACAGGGTTCAGCCCCGGGATCTTGTCACAGGTAGAAGCGCTACTTCATGCCCGGCAGCCACAGGATTTGCCTTCTGAGGCTTGGGATGAATTTTCCTGTCAAAGGCTACAAGTGTGAAGTGATGCTTTAGAGTTAGGCCTTTTCAAAGTAGAGTTCTGAGGTCACGATGGACCATGGGGACAGAGAGACTTCGGGCCAAATGTCAGCTTATAAGCTGTGAAGACGGCATACTGTGTGGGCCTGGCAGGGTGTGACCCACGGGGTTCTTTCAGAGCCAGGGGTCCATTAGCACATTTGGGCAGCTGGAATGTTTAGGCGGCGGTTGGGTTTCAAGCTGATTTCTAAAGAAATAATACATTTTTAGGGTTTGGGATTGGAAAAGGACCACATGACTGACTTCCTGCAACCCCAAGGGAGACTGTGCAGTCCTGCAAGTGTGGGGGGGTCCCACCCAGAGGCCCACCGTGGCCGTGCAAGCAATGCACCCATTCCAGGCCGGCTTGCTTGAAAACCACACATCTGGCAAACAAACAGGAGGGAAACGTGTTTCTCCTGGGTCGGCCCCATTCTCTTCTCTCCTACAGAGGAAGTGGCCTGCTCCCGGAGTTCAAGCATCCGCCTGCTTGGAAACTGTGACAATGTGCACTGACTTCCTGGGTTCCTTCTGCCCTACTCTGAAAGTCTGGACGCCAGGGGACAGGGAGCTGCTCAGTGATGGTGAAGAAGAAAGTCTGAACTGATAACGAAGGAGCCAGGCAGAGGAAGGCTAGCTCCAGGGAGCCTGGCCGACCTGGCAATTATTTTTTATGACATGGCAGATATTATGTTGATGGTTTCATTTCTGGTTATTACCTTCTATTAAAAAGCATCTTGAGGAAGATGATTACGGGGGCATCTTCTTCCCGCCTCAGGAATCTACTCTCAAATTTTCAGTGAACTGTTGTTTTTCCTGGACATATTATTATGATTGTTCTTGTTATGGCTGTGATTATGCAAACTGCTAGTTGTCAAAGGGCTCTTTTTATTAGCCATTGCTCACAACCCTATTGCTTTGAGGTAAACAGAGGTGGAGTGATGTCCATACAGGGCACAGAGAGGTCAAGCACCCCCAGGAAGTCGTCTCCTGGTGAGGGCCTCCCTCCTAGAATGCCAGCATTTTGCCAGGGGCCAGGGATGCCAGAGGGCTCCCTCTCCTCCCCTCCCCAACCTCCCTGCCAGCAGCACCCCTGGGACCTGTGAACAAATGAAGAATATGCCCAGGGTGGTGTCAGCACTTCCCAGTTCTGAGTCCAGCCCTGGTCCCATCCACTGGGCCACGCTGGTGCTGGAGATCTGTCATGGATCTCCAGGGCTTTTGACTGGCTGCATCCCAAAACAAAGAGTCAGATCTTGGAACCACAGATGTCCCTGAATCCCGAACTGGAACTAAAATGCCACTGTCACATGGCTGTCCCACCAACAACTCAACAGGTCTAAATCAGATGTATTATCTTACCCCCCAAGCCAAAACTTAGCACCTACTGAATTCTGTCAGTGGCATCTCCCAGATTATTTTTAAATAATCTAATTTTTAAAATAACATACTTATTGCAAAAAAAAAAGCAGAAGGTTATAAAACAACTAAAAATATAACCCTCACCCCCAACTCTCCATCCCCTCCTTCCAATATTGGTGTGCATATTTTAAGACTTTGTTCTCTGCAACCAAGACCTGTTTTCTTTTGTTGTGGTTATTATCTTTGACCCTACCCTTGCCTGCCTTCTAACAGCCATTACTCATCAACTCCCACTAATTTTTCCTTTATGTTTCTCACATCTGTCCAGTCTTTCCATCTAAATTCCTACTGCCTTATGTTCAGAATATCACTGTTCCACAGTGAAACAAGAGAGGGCGTTGGAACCGAATGACGTAAGTCTTGGTTTTTTCACTTGAGCAAATGATGTCCCTTTTTTGAGTCTCAGTTTATCTCCTGAAAGGGAATAACCATATCTACCTTTTTAGGTGACCAAAATGAATAAAGTTGTAAAATGCTAGGTACTTAATAAATGTCCACTATTAATATTCTCTTTTAAGTGGCCTCCAGAACACACTCCAAGTTAGAATGCATACAGTGGTTAGATTAATCTTTCTTAAAACACTCCTTTTATTTTGAAAGTCACTTGCTCATAACCTTTAAAAGGCTTCCCACTGTTTATAGGGTGGGTGGCAAACAGTCTTTAACTCACACCTCAGTTCTAATTGATTGTAGTGTCTGCTTACGAGGTTGCCCTGGCTTGGTGGGAGAGTGCTGGGTTAGATTAGCAATGTCTGCTCTGACAGCAGCGGTAGGAGGAGCAGGCAGCCCCGCCCTACAGAAAAAAGCCCTACATTACTTCTCTCCTCTGCCCCTTGGAGGGTCCCCCCTTACAGGTGTCTCCTCCCTCTGGACTGGTCTCCTGATCTGCCATACGTACCACAGATCCTCAGCCAACAGCAACCTCCCCCCAGATCTGGATGCAGCTGGCTGACTTCCTATCACCTGAGATCACGTCTATCTCCCTAAAGAGGACAAGCACTCTTTACAACACTGCCATTGGTTTTCTTCGGAACACTTCATCTGTGTCTGAAGCAGTTCGGCTGATTCCTTTTCATGTTTATTGTCTGTCTCCCCCACAAGAATCTGGACACCTGAAGGCAGGAACTTTCTTTTCTTCACCGTGTCCCAGAAGTCTAGGCCTGGCCTGGCAGGAAGCTCAGCATTGGACAACCATGGAAACCAGGGCTCCCTGATGAGCGAATCCTGTCTTCCCAAGCAAACTGTGACTTGAGGCCAAGGGCTGTGTCTGACTTTTCTTGGTGCCCTCCACATGTAGTCCAGCGAGGCATATTAACTTGCCCAATAAACCCTGGATTAGCTGATTGCTATGGCCTTCAGGGGGAATCTTACTAAGGCATATTTGCCTATGAATTGCATCAGATTGTATGCTCAAAAGCTGTAGGTCGCACCTGTGTCCAACCTGCCTTATACAGGCCACTTTGCACATCTGGTCATGATTTCTATTTCTCCTTGGTAGTTTTCATAAAAATCACTTGCTGCTGAGTTTCCTGTTTCCCAGAGACACCTGATAATGTGCTGGTTACCTGTGCCATGTACATTTTGAATATTCTGGTTTTCTTCTGTCTTAACATCATGTGTCTACAGGAATGAAAGCATCTAAAGGGCTTAGAATATTAAAATCCATCCTGCAAAGAATAGCATGGACCTTAGGGAATGATGCAGAACAGAAATGATGCGTAACACGGAATGTGCAATCTTTTTTTTTTTTTTGCCAATGTGAGCAAACTTCCAAAGAACAAATGATGAAAGATTATTAAGTCCCCTGTGTTTAAATATATTTTCACTGGTCATTTTTCTACTCCCAGACATCTTGTTTTAATTGAAGTTTTTTCTTCAGTTTATTTATGTCTGAGATCACATAACATCAACACTGAAGAGCACATTATGGAGGAAAAATGTTTTCACATTCTACCACTCTAACAACTGTTTTTATTTTTTGTTTCCTCCCAATCTTTCTACATATGCATATTTTTTACATAGTTTTAATCAGACAAGGGCTTCCCAGGTTGCACTAGTGGTAAAGAACCCACCTGCCAATGCAGGAGACATAAGAGACATGGGTTCAATCCCTGGATAGGGAAGATCCCCTGGAGAAGGAAATGGCAATCCATTCCAGTATTCTTGCCTGGGAAATCCCATGGACTGAGGAGCCTGGCAGGCTACAGTCCATAGGGTTGCAAAGAATTGGACATGACTAAAGTGACTGAGCATGCATGCAATCAGACGTGTTTGAGAAAGATAAATGTTTTCTGCTAAAGCCAATAATAATAAATGTAAGAAAGCACCAAATAGTTTTACTTTCTATAATAAAATGCTCATTTTTCCCCCAAAGTCTAGGCTTTTAATTGTTGACCTTGAGCAAAGTCCAGAGGTATAAAAGATCAAGGAAGAAAACGATGGAAATGTCTAGTAAAGGATGCCCATACCTATACAGAAAGACATTTTACTTGTTCCTGTCCTAGACACATTCCTACAAGTTGCAAAAGATAAAATGCTTCACTCTGCCTCAGGTACTATAGAATCGGCTTCCTTGAGTTTTAAATGCCTGGAAATGATGTAAGTCAACCCTTATTATTTGCAGATTCTGTATATGCAAATTCATCTACTCCTTAATGTCTATTTGTAATCCCAGGATCAATGCTGGTGGTGCTTTTGTAGACATTTTCAGGGACACACATGTGCAGACAAACAAAAATTCTGAGTCACCTGATGTTCCTTTTTCAGCTGAAGTTGAACAAGGCAATGGTGTCCTCTCATTTTGGCTCTGAGGCTGTAAACAAGTGACTTTTTGCAGTCTATTTCAGTACACATTATGTGCCTCTTTGTGCTTTTTGTTAGTAATTTCCCTGTTTAAAATGGCCCCACACACAGTGCTGAAGAGCTGCCTCGTGTTTCTAAGTGCAAGAGGGGTGTGATGTTCCTTACAGAGGAAATACGTGTGTTAGAGAAGTTTTACTCAGGCATGAGTTATAGTGCTATTGGCTGTGAGTTCAGTTTTAATGAATCAATTTCTATTAAGTTAGGTGTCTTTATAAAGAACCACACATAACCCGCAGTTGTGTATTGATCAGTTGATGAAAATGTGACCAGAGGCTGGCAGGATCCTAACAGTCGGGTCTGACACTTTGTGACCTTATGGTCTGTAGTCCAGGCTCCTTTGTCCAAGGGGACTCTCCAGGCAAGAATACCGGAGTGGGTTGCCATGCCCTCCTCCAGGGGATCTTCCCAACCCAGAGATCGAACCCAGGTCTCCTGCATTACAGGCAGATTCTTTGCCATCTGAGGGAAGCCTAGAAGAGAAATAATGCTGATCCTCTTGAAAAACCATGGGAGTGTTTTCAGATGACTGGATGGATCAGGCCTGGACAGTCCTGGCTGTCATTCTGGTCCATGTTAGTCCCAAGGGAAAGAAAACCCAGGGTGTTCTAGGCCAAGCAATATCAGTCACGGTTCGTAGACTTGGAATGTGGAGACACTCTGAACCAGCTAAGAATGGTATCTTTCAGTAACCCTATAGAAGCATTCTCTCATTTGTTCCTGTCATGTACAGGAGGTGTCCTCTTAGTAAAGAAAAACCAGTATATACAAGCTAAGAACATAACAGCTGCTGTTCACTGTATGTGTATTAGGAACTAGTATTGTTGCAGATAACTCTTCAAACCATCCCAGGAGGGAGGGCATGACTAGTTCCAATTAACAGATGAGAAAACTGAGGCTAGAGAGATCAGACCACTTACCCAGGTGACCCAGCTCTAGCGGGAGGTGGGGATGGGAATGGAGCTCAGCTCAGCAGGACTAAAATGCCCACATTCCTAACCACTGCTCAGGAGGGTCATGACTTGCTTGCCCTGATCCTTTCTACCAAGCTCTGTAACCACGAGGAGCCCCAGTGTGCTGGAGGTGTGATCACTTTACTAACATCTGTTCTGATCACTTCTCAGAAGCCCATTAGCCACGGTGGAGAGAATTGTGACTCTGCACTCCAGAGCGATGAACTGTAACTCTGGTTCTTCTCATACTACACTGTGGTGGCAAATTCTAGGAGTTTCTAAAAATAGGTGGCAAATTCTAGGAGTTTCTAAAAATAGCATCGGGACTTGTGCTTTGCTAGAGAAGGGATTATTCTGACCTTTCGCCTAACAAGGCCCCCCTCCTGAGGGTGACAATTTCACTGCTTCGCATGACATTTGGTTTCCCTCACATGTGGCCTGTCGGATTATACTTACAGGAAGTCAGAGAGAACCTCTAACCTCCTCCTGCTCTATTTTTGCTTTTCATTCTCTTTC